ACCTGCTTGGCAAGCACAAAGACCCAGGTTCAATCCCTGGTACCACTGAGCTTGCCACTGAAACCGGTCATGGTGGTGCACACCTGTAATCCCAGCGCTGGAGAGGCTGAGACAGGAGGATCGCTCTGAGCTGTGCAGCGAGACACTGTACCAAATAAATGAATAAAAGATTAAAAAGAGAGATCTGATGAATTCCATCATTCTCTACGACCTTTATGAACGAACTCAGTTGGCTCAGCCCTCCAGAGGATGCCAGCCAGCTGAACTTGGACACGAGCTTCTGTTTTTTAATGAAGCCAGAATAGACTGATATCGTGTATTATCCTGCTATGGAAATATTTTGAAGGGGGGATGGGCAGCCAGAGAACATCCTCTACACATTTGATGAACACAATAAAAGCCTCTAAAATTCCAGAATATGTTATGGCTGGAAGTATTACAGTTAAAAAAGTCAGCTTAAATTTAATAGTCCGTTTAAATTCCTAGTTGACGGTAATTAGAGAACAGGCAGTATTTCTTTAAATGCTGCCAGACAGAACTTAATCCAATTTAGGTAATCACTAACCTTTGCTTTTCTTCTCCCTCTCTTTCTCTCTCCCCTAAATGAATCCAAGGATTGATCTACAAAGGCCATAAACTGGCAAAGCATAAGAAAAGAATATTTAAAGAGGGAGATTGGGGGGCTGGTACCTCAAAGAGCTAAGTCCAGTGAAAATGAAACAGGTCTCTCAGGCTCCCTAATTTATGCGGCCCTAAACTGGCACTGAATAACAGAGGCATTCCAAGAAATGAGGGTACTCACGCCCCCATTCTCCCTCTCTGGGAACCTCATCCCAGCTGTCAATCACCAGAGCTTGCTTGGCAGGAACAGCCTTTCCCTCCCAGCCGGCCGAGCCCCATCATTCTCCACATCTCCACAGCCCTAGGGCTTGATCTGGCCTCTTGTGGACTACCTCCTGCACCTAAGGTGAAATCCTCCAGAGTGTCGCCTCACTTGCCACTGTACAAGCACCTTCTAGCCTCTCATTTTAGATGTCCCACATTGATTTGACACTGACTTCTATTCCAGAAACTTCCATATAAGCCACTAGTGCTTCTTGAGAACTTGAGACCCTGGATTCCGCATGAAAGGCCTTTAAGAACAGGTAACAAAAATGTACAGGAAGGGGCCTGGGGAGATAGTTCAGTGGTCTAAGTGCCTGCCTGGCAAGCACAAGGACCCAGGTTCAATCCCCAGTACCACATGCTGTGCCTGCCTGCCCCGGAACCCTGGGTGCACCAAGCTAATCACCGAAACTGCGTGTGATGGCACACAACCATAATCCCAGCACTGGGGAGGCTTAAACAAGAGGATCATTATGAGTCCTAGCTATGTAATGAGACCCTGTACCAAATAAATAAAAGAGTTTCTCTTAATTTTTTTTAATGTACAGGCAGGATCCAGAGGCTCAAGTTAAAGTCTATGTGACACTGGGAAATTAACACACTTCTCTGAGCTTTTTTTTTTTTTTTTTTTTTTGGCAGAACCGGGGATTGAACTCAGGCCCTTGCACTTGCCAGGGAAGCGCTTATTCCACTGACCCATCTCCCCGGCCCCCTCTGAGCTTCTTAAAATAAAGAAAATAATAGCTACATGCCCAGGTTTTGGGGAGACTCAAATACCATTGTCACAGCTGGACCTGACTTACCTATTCAGTCAGTGGGTTGCAATCACATGAGTTTCAAAAGTAAATCTTGGACCCTGCCAAGTCTTTGACCCTGCCAAAATGTCAATCACCTCAGGTTCACTTCTCCTGAGGTGTCCCATCATTGCTTCCTGTCATGTGTGTCCCCACCCTCCGTGGCTCCCAGTGTGGGCTCTTCCTTACTAAACAATGGCTTCTGCTTATCAAGGTAGCACTCCCCAGTTCCCAAATTCCACCCCTGTTGTCCTGTACAAAATAGTTTGTTCTCTAGGTTCCACCACGGAGACATTAATTCACACTGAGTTGCTAACAAATGATTACACCTACAAGTACTGCCTTTGCTAAGTACTTACTTTCTGCATATAGACAAGCAGCTCTGAGGAACACATTTTTAATGGCAGACAACATAGGACAATTTTATTTCATTTATTGATTTATTTTGAGGGGAGGTTATTGGTGGAAAGAAAGCTTCTGTCCAAGACAGGGATAGAAGGGGGGCCCTGAGCAGATTGTCCCTAATAGGACCAATTTAGAGTTACTCAGGGGCTGTCTCTCCCATTGACTATATTGATCTAGCCCTGCAAAAAGAATTATGAGGGAAAAAGACAAGGAAAGAAGAGTCTTTTTTTTTTTTTTTTTTTTTTTTTTTTTTTTTGGTGGCTCAGGCTGCCTGAAGGACAGGTCTGTTAAGGCAGGTGGAACTGGGGATCAAACTGTGGTATCCTGCTCCTGACTGCCTTTGCATGAACAGGCGCTTAAACAACTGAGCTAAGGACAGGCCCCCCCAAGTAATTTTTTTTTTAGGAACTGGGGATTGAACTCAGGCCCTTGTGCCTGCCAGGCAAGTGCTTATTCTACTGAGCCATCTCCCTGACCCCTTAACTTGGTATATGGACAATACAAAAGAAACAATCACAGAGAAACATATGCACACACACCCACAATTTGCTAGGACAGAGAAATCTGAAAAAAGAAAATGAAGGTTTATAGAGTTCTTAACGAACTCAATCTACCAATAGGTGGCTTTTATGTTGAGCATTCATTAAATGGATGAACAAACTAAAGATTATACCGTTTAAGTCTGGACCCTCAGCATAAGGTTTTCTGAGAGTACAGCAGGTTTGCAAAGGCAAAATTAGGACAAAATTGGGCTAACTTGTAACATTTCAAAATTAAAACCCACCAATGGACTCAAGCACAAGACGATATAATCCACTACTGGGGAATCAAAGGGAAAATCATCCCCAACCCACAAGCCTGGAGTAACAAAGTGAGACCCATTCTGAGCTACATCCCTGCGAGGCCTTAGACAACTTGTCTAAGCCTCGGTGCGTGCCATCTATAATGGGTAGGTAACAATCCCTCCATCAGTATATGGTAAGGATCATGCGCTATCAGTGTCCTACTTCGAAGTCTGACATTAAGACCTCAACAAGTGTTTGCAACATCCTCCTTTTTTAGATAAGGGGAACACTTTCACTGTGTTCAAACAGAACATTACTGCAATCACATCCCCTGAAGCAAATGTACATCGGCACTCCTAGGTCTCTCTGGACCTGACAGAAGTGAGGTCTAATCCATGAAAAACAAGCTAGCTTAAGCTAAGAGGTGCGTAGTCTATGCTTCCTTTAGCTCCTTTCTTCCTTTACACATTAATGGTTCCAGCTGCTAGGAACATCAATAAAATACAAAGGTCAGTGGCTGGGGATGGGAAAACTGAAGATGTTGCTTCTCTTATCTACAAGGCGACATTCTACACAAATCACTCGCTCGGGGGCCCTACTGCAACCAGAATGACCTGTTGGAGTTCACAACGGGAGTCTTTCTGAATTGTACTGGGAACCTCAAGGGGGTCTCAATTGAAAACTGCATGCTAAATCGGCTTCTGCAGGCTTCACTTCCCCTCCTGACCAGTTTGCTGCAGTTTACTAGAGCTCAGCACTCTGGGGCTTTGTGGCCTGTAGGAGAACGAAACATCTCGGCTGCACACCTGCTCTGGTCAAGACCACCAAAGGCAGGTCAAATTGGGCAGCCTGCAAGGTTCCTCCGTAACTTGCATGAGGTGGGGGAATGGAAGGCGAGGCACCACGGTTGTCACTGGACTGCCCTGGTCCAAGTATGGGCCATCTGATTTTGCAAGTATCGCTTGTGCTACAGGTCAGAACTCAGGCCCAGCAGGGATGTCCAGAGCTTCTGGCGCAGACCTTTGCCATTGCTGGCCTCGGAAGCAGAAGTGCAGCCCATCCACGCGCGTGAGCTCCGTCTTGCGCTGTAATTGGAAACTTGCACAGCGCAGGACTGCAGCAACGCCTATAAATACTGCCTTACTGCTGACAAACACTATGCTGGCTGGCTCCCGGCTCTGCGGGGGAAGAGCGGCCGCGTGTGATCCAGGGTGGGGACGGGTGGAACTGGGGGAAACCCCTACCGCAGACCAGGAAGGCACCCCAGAGCCTAGTCCCGAGGCAGTTCACAGCTACGCAGCCCATTTTGACCCCGAGTGGAATTCCCTTTTGCAAACACTGGGCAGAACTGGGAAGGGCAGGTCCGAGCCACCTAAAGCAGCTCCAGGGCGCCCCCTGCGCTCAGCAGCTAGCAGAGCGCGCGCAGTAGGCGCGCAAAACTGGGCCAACGTGAAGTGGGCACAACAGCGGTAAAGGAAAAGGGACACGGTGGGGGGGGGGATACGGGGGACGGTGCTCAGAGCGTCCGGCCGCGGCCAGGGCGCCCCAGGCCCTCCTACCACCCGCCCCGGGTTGTCCTGCCCGCGTAGCGCAAGCTAGGCGCACAGGACCCAGTGTTGCATCCCCGCCCTCCGCTCCCACACCTCCCTCCGGAGCAAGGGATCGGCGGGAAATCGGCTGTTTCGGTCCTCGAGCTTGGGGAGCTCTGCAGACTCGGCCCTAGAGCCAAGTGAGAACGAGACAAACCGGCAAACTTTCTTTTCGCTTCTTTTTTCTTTTAAAGCTCGGGTTTCCGCCAGGGTCCCCCGATGGACGCCATCCAACCCTCCACCCCAACCGACTCAGCGCGCACCTCAACCCAAGCCAACCCGCCGACGCCTTGCGCCGCTGCCTCGATCGCTGCCCACACCCTCAGGGTCGCCAGTCTAGATCTCTCTGCCCTCCTTAAGCATCCGATCTCAGGGTCCCTAACCACGCGGGGTCCCCAACTTGTTGCCCTCAAGTAGTTCGCCTTCCTTAGTCCCTCCATCTCCATGTCCCTGCCTAATTGTGCCTGGTGACTTCCTTCCAGTCTTGAGGCACTTTTGCGGGGAGGAGGGACTCCAGCCCCTCCAAGGACTTCCCCACTCACCTGCTCCAGGGTCCCAGGCGTGGGTCTCCACCAGCCGCGCCCGCCCGCCGGTCCCGGACTTCTCACGCCCAGGAACAAGTTTCTGGCGTTTTGGAGAAAGTTTTGTTCCTGGAGAAAGACGTTCTCCCTCCTCTGCTTCCCTACTCACCCCGCGCTGCCCTCGCCTGGCTGCTCCCAGACTCGGATCCTCTCCAGCGCGAGTCCGCAATCGCTGGGCGTGCGGAGCTGCCAGTGCGCGGCCAGGGACACGTTTCCCTCCTCTCAGTTTACGGCCACCTATTCTCCTCCTCCTCCTCCTCCTCCTCCTCCTCCTCCCCTGCCTCCTCCTCCCCTGCTTCCTCCTCCCCTGCCTCCTCCTCCCACTTTTCCTGTCCCGTGCACATGTGCACATCGCTAGCTTTCGACTCTTTCCAGCCGCCCCCACCACCACCTTGCTGCATCTCGGGAAATCCAAATGTTTGGACGTGGAGAGCTAGCCTGGAGGATAAGCGCTGTGCTTCTCTCGCCCAAGGTGAAATCAGCCTCTCACCCCTTCCCCACCAAGGAGAGCTCTGCTGGGGCGAGGCCGAGGGAGAGACCACTGAGGGCCTCTTACAAGGAGCAAGACCCGCAGAACAGCGGACTGAAGCCTACAACTTTATCTTAAGAAAAAGTTCTCGGGCCAATTCCAAAAGTTGTTTTAAGCACATTAATGACCCTATAATTCCACTGAAGCCTCTCCATGAGCGTTGCAACATGCTTTCATTTCTTCTTTCCAGCTAAGGGCTTAATGCATATGGGAGGCTCCCTCAATGTAAAACCACAGAGAATCAACCGATCCGAAAATTAAAAACAAAGTAAAATTATTTTCAAAACCTTTTTTTTTTTCCTTTCTGGCAGGTGTTAAGAATTTGACGCAGCTGCCTGGGTACACTGGCTTGCACAATGTCACCCTCACCCTATGGCTTAGCAGGAAACACTTTTCAAATGCTGCCCCAGCTCAGATCATGCTTCGGCTTTGAAACCACAGTGACGTTTGCTGAGGAAGAGAAGATATATATATTTCTTTTTATGGTCAAAAGTAAACAAAATCTCATTCCGTTTTGGGTCCCTGTGACCTTTAGAACCTTTGTATTCTGGTAGCTATATGAGGATGGTGCATGGCACAGGCATGGGGATAGCTTGCCTTGGGATGTTAGATAACGCCGAAGGATTCTCAAGGGAAAGCCCAGAGGGATTAGGGGTCCTTCTGTCTCACTCTGGGAATCACATAGGACAAGAGACTTCGCACAGCCTAGGAGCCTGGGGGAGAAAAGCTTTGGAGGACAATAGATAGGGGGGCGGCTGCTGATGGGAGAGCCAAAATCTGTATCCTTGGATAATCAGCCAAGTTACTTAATTTTGCCATGATTCAGTTTACTCTTACAAATTCGGGGGTAACAGTAACAACTGCTTGTTAAGATTGTTATGAGGATTTCATGAATTCCTACAAATACAGCACATAAGAATTCTGTTGGAATTCAAAAGAGAGCAAGCCGTTATTACTCTTACCAATCCCCGGGGTCAGGAAGCCACGTAGTACACATATGCTTCTACCCAGGTGCAAGAAGATTAATTTGAGAATGCCCATTCCACATGTCCGATTCCCCTTTAGGTCTTTGTACAATTGTGATGCATTCCTCTCTCCCAATCCACCTCATTCTACTCTACTTTTTCTTTGTTTGATAGCATCGATCCCCTTGTGACATCTTATATGAATTTTTTTTTTTTTCCTAAATGTGGTCCCTTATACTCTGGTTTCTCTTCAGATTGTATAAATCTTTCGCCTTTTCCTAAACGTGGTCCCTCTCATCACTTCTTTCAGGCCACAAACGTCAGCTCAGTAAGGCAGAGATTCTTGTTGGCCAGTGACATTGCCCTGGCTCCTGGACTAGCGCAGGGGTACGTAGTGTGCACCAGTAAATGCCATGTGAATGAATGCTAGAACACATTCATCTAGCAGATCTCTGTCCTACTAATCACTTGCAGTGGGCATGGCATTGTGTCCTAAGATGATAATTAACGGGGTGGCCTGTGCAGGATGAGTGAGGCTCCCTTGGGAGGAAGTGCTTTTCTGACAGCAGGAAATATTCACAGCACCTAAGGACATCAGCATTGTGGGACATCACGGCAAAGTATCCAAAGACTGCAAGGAACCCTTAAGTTGTTTAGAGTCTTTTCCAACCTTAAGAGTTGCTATTTTTATAACAGAGTTTTCTTAAAATGAAAAATAGCCGTAATTTTGGTGTAAATCAGAGCTTCTCCAGTGCCAATATATTATATTTGTCACCACCCAATTTTTAACCAGAGCTCTAACTCAATGTCAGTGGAACATTGCATTTTCTTATTAAGAAACAATCTTGTTAGAGGAAGCCAATATAAATCATTCTATTTAAGCATTCATTTAGAGAGGAGGACTCTTAAACATATTAGGTACACAGTTTGCCAGGTTCAGCCTCTGAGCTGAAATTGGCCCACTCAGACTTTGTACTGAAAGAGGATCCCTGAGGCAGCTCTTTGGGGACTAAATTCAGCCAAACCACAGATTTTGCCCTTAGAATACACCCTGGCCCTTCAGTGAGTAAGTCGGATTCCACATCAAGAATGTGATCACAGACTGGGCATGGTGGCACACCTGTAATCTCAGCACTTGGGAGGCTGGAAACAGGAGAATCACTACGAGTCTGATCTACAGAGTGAGACCCTGTAGGACCTGTAGACCCTGTAATAAGTACGTTAAAAAAGAATGCCGTCACATGTATATGCACACACACACACACACACACACACACACAGACAGATAGTGGGGTATATATGTAATACTAAAGTGGGAAGGAAAGTCATGATTCATGATTCTACCGGAACTCTAGACCCTAAAAGCTGTGGACTGGCTGCCTATGGGCCAGTTTTAACTATTAGAGGTATACCACTGAAACCCTATGATCGTTTGTATGTTTTTAATGAATTGCTGATATTCAAAAAGCAGAAAACTGCATGCAAAAAAACATATATGAGTTTTCAATCTGCCTTGAAAACTCCAAAACCCTGGGCAGGGCTTTTGTTGCAGGCCAATGGGACCATAGTTGGCTAACTGTTAGACAAGATGCATAGTTTCCAGTTTGCTACAATCCATGCCACTCCCTGTCTTTCTTCCCACCCTGCCGTTCCATTTCCCTGCCACTCCTGATGCAGCTAGAGATGGGCCCTGGCCATGAGCTATGAGCAAGCAGAAATTACACAACTGGATGGCATGGGCTCAAACCATCTTTCCCCTAGCAAGAGACTCCATTTTTCCAACAAAATTTTGCTAGGAGCTGCATAATTTGAGCACTCCTGAGGCAAAGGATGCCACTGGCTAGACAAGGAGGCAAGTGGGCAGCAGGAAGGGAGGAGCAGAGGCTCTCTCTGGAGCTACAGTGAAGTCAAAACCACTTTTCATTTCCTGCTTTTCCAGAGGCCCACACTCTCTCTCCTCTGTTCCCATGGTAATGTCTCCCCACTCATCATCCCTTTATTCATTTCCACCCCAAAAGGGCCCAATCAGACCAAGTTCAGGATGGCTTTGGTGACTCATCCAGAGTTGTGCCCAAGGAGAAAGAATAAGGCTTGATACCAACGCTATTTCTTCCTCCTCATCTTATACACTGCTTAATTTCTGACTGATAACACAAATCCCTTCAATTTACAGTCATAGTACCTTAAAAGTCTGGTATCTGGTGGTGTGAAATATTGGCCAACTTTGAGTGCAGAAACTTAGGTGTCCAGTTCAGACCACCTCCCATGAGACTTCCATGCCCTGATGTCTCTTACCTTGTAATTAAAATGCTCCAACATATCCTTCCTTCACTTTTCTTTTTATAGATGGAGGCCCTGAACATCTAAGATCGCTAGTTAGTGCCTGCTTTCAAGGGGTACAGGAAAGTCACCCAGACCCATGAGCATTCAAACATAGCTTTTCATGTTCCCAGAAGTGCAGTCATAAAATAAGCCAACATGGTTACTCATGATAAATAGCAGCCTAGCTACAGAGCTTGCATAACCCGTCATTATATATCCACAGCATTGTACCATCCATAAAACAGGGACCATTTGAGAAATATGCTCAGTATGGAATCTAATGCCAGAGTGTAGAATCAGTGACCTTTGGTACAACAGGAAGAGAAAACACACAAATGAGAAGAGCTTGCTTTCCTTTACCCTCCATTCAACAGTCAATAGAGAAAACATGAGTACCCTAAAGTTCTAGGGAGAGTTTCCATGACATAAGGAACAAAAAAGAAAAGTATTATTTCAGTGCCTATCATTCTCTTCTTGAAAGCAAGGAGGATTTCTATTATGTTAGTTTTTACTATTCTTCTTGTCTTTGGCTATTGAAGAGTATGTGCCCTCCATTGTAAAGAGACTGGTTGCTAATTAAATCAATGTATTTTGAGAACAGCTTTAATCAGTAACTCTTAAAAGGAAATTTGGTGGTCCTATATGAATTTCCCTGGGATGATCCCGATTTCAGCTTTCTTTTGCATGATTCCAGATCCATTGGGTGGCCAACAATAATTGGGTGGTCACTTATTTGTCAAGTAGTACAAAATGAACAGGAAAATCGAGGTTCCTACCATGAAGGAGCAGAAGATCAACAATAAACAGGGAAATTAGAAAGAGATCATTGTGAGTATTGATGAGTGCTATAAAGAGATTAAAATAGGTCACTCTAGTGGCCTGGAGGAAAAAAGAGAAGTGCTTTGTATAGTGTCATCAGGGATGGTAACTATGAGTGAAAGCTACATGGTCACAGGGGGTACCCACAGGAACAGGGAGGACCTGAGTCAGGGAGAAGCTTGGCAAGTGGTCAAGGTGTGAGAGGAAGCCCTATGGTCAAAGATTTTGCAAATGAATGTGGAAGGAACCAGATGAGATCCGAGAAACTATTCAAGATCGGATTGAAGGCAGGTCACAGGAGCTCGGTCACTGTAGCAAGCCATTGGAAGGTTTTAGATAATGTTATCATTTGGATCTTAGGAGTCCTCCAAAGGTTCATAAGGTAAAGGAACAGTCCCCAGGGTGGTGCTATTGGGAGGTGGTGAAAACCTTAAGAGGTGGGACCTAATGGGAGGCTCTGGGTCATTAGAGATGTGCCCTCAAAGGAGGTTGTGGGAGCCCAGTTCCTTCTTTCTCTTTGGCACTTGGTTTTGAATGGTATTGTTCCACCATGTGGCTCTCACTA